CCTGCCACAGTAAGAGAGACTTCATGCTATATTTCTCATCTCTCAAGTGTTGTACTGCCTAGGAGGCAGAAAGCTGGCCTTTCTGCAAGGCAACTCATAAAGCCTCATCCTCATCTTATAGGGAGTCAGATACCTCATTAAGATAGATGCATATTAGAAAGGTGCTAGAAAAATTCAGAGTTAACAAAGAGATCTTGAAGTCCTAATGGCAAGAGCCATTTTCAATCAGTTTGTCAATGACAAAGTTCTCTAATTGAATAAACATTTTTATCTTTGAAGCATGTCAGAATCTATGCATATAAATCTCATATAGATTTAAATAATTATTCCCTTTCTAAAAAACAGTGTTAGAAAATAAATGAGTTTTGAACAGTATTAGAGCCTTCTTATGAAGCTGAGGTTCACTTTTACTTACAATTCTGAACTACTGAACTTTTTTATGTTCAGATTCATTGAAATTCAAACCAAATTCGTGGACCCGCAAATGCCTCACTTAAAAAGCACATTCATTCAAATGTGAAGTTTTTATATTCTTCAGTGACATATGAATTACATAATTACATTTGGTACAAAATTCTCAAGGTCCTCCTAATCTAGTTCAGAAATCGAACCATCTAGAAAACATTACACACACACACACACAAAAAAAAAAAAAAAAAAAAAAGGTTTTAGAACTTTCTGAAGTTGTTTTAGAACTTCTTCATTATTACCTACAGAAAAATAACATTTTTTGAACAATTATTATTCACAGACCAAAAACTAACTCCTATCCAAGTCAATATCCAAAAAGGAAGGATTTTATTTATGGTATAGTAGAGCAATTCTGAGTGCACTCGCAAATTCTGAGAAAAAATATGAAGAAGAATTCCAGGTAAAATTTCTTTTTTACTTACCTTTTATTTCTTTTTTTAAGGTAAGCAGAAATCTGGGGGTTTGAGAAGAAAAAAAATGTGAGGTTGATGGGTCTCATTTCTTTTTTAATAGATTTGAGGATCTTGGCTTTGTGTTTTGTTCTATTTTTTTCCGAAATTATTGAGTTTCCTCAACAAGTTTTGGTATTCAGAATATTTCAGTCCTCCAAATCTGAAACCTATTTGGAAGGGCTTGAACAAGTTCATTTCCTGTAGATCTGCAGAAGTTGTCTAATGATTCTGTCCCAAAACTAGTCAGAAAATATAGCTTAAAATCATCTATAAAATTATCTTCAAGCCACTTGGTCTTTCATCTGCTACTGGACTTCATCCATTATCTACTTTAAAGACCTACATTTCAAAATTGTATTTTTTTTAATGAAAATCAGAGGCAAATGGACATCCATCTATATGAAAGGAATCATGGCCAGGCACTCTATTAGCAAAAGTAACCCAACAAGGTTGTCTGGCTGAATCAGTTGGCTCCAGGTGGCTGCAAAGGTGTGTTTGACTTCACTTTCAGATGGTTTCATGTTCCAGTGCAAGGATCACCATCCGATATTCCCTTCCCTTCTGTGTTTTAATTTTGGCTGATTTAAACCTCAAAATTAAAATTCCATGCATTTATATATGCATAATATAAGGAAACTGACAAAATATTGTATAATTCATTATGCAATGCATAAAGAAAATGCACCCTTTAAAAAGCAAGACTTTTTAAAACTAGATTTCACAAAAAAAAAAAATCTGAAGAAGGAACTAACAACAACAAAAATCATTTTTTAAAAAGAATCAAACACTTTTCCTTCTAAGTTTAAAATTTGTATATAAAGAATGCTCTATTACATGTGAAAAGGAAATCTGACAGAAGGATTCTTTCCCAAAGTCACAATTTCATTTCCCCCACAAGCATTTTTCACTTAGAAAGACAGAAAAATGCATATTAATAATTATAACTGGAGAGAGTTAGAAGAATATTCATATATTCTAGATTTGTCCTGGATGTCTGTCAGTACGTCATGTGATATGAGTCAACCTCTACAATGATTATAACGAGAAGGTACTTGAGAAAAGAAACCTTAGCACATACTTAACTTTACTTCTTTAGTACATAGCATAAGTTGTTTATATATATATGTACATATGCAATTATACACATTTACATACAATAAAATAAAAAATATATTTCATCCCTGATTTCTTACCTAGGTGGAAACAATTTCAATATGCAATAAGATTTTCAAAAGAGCCCTGATTTCCAAGGTCCCATTATTACTTTGCAAATCAAATAAAGAAATCAGGTTCTAGATAAGGGTTTCATCTTTCATGAAAAGTATCTCCTATTAATGTTTTAAGACATCACTTAAAATTATAACAGGAAATCCAGTGCAAATTCACTATCACAGAGCATTATTTGAGTGAGACAAAGCATTCCCATCTAATTCACATCTTTAATTTTCTGAAAACTTTAGAAATTTCAAATTGTTCCTTCACAATGATAGCATAACTTGTTGACATATAAAAGAAGGAAGATTCTTTTGGGTTTCATAAATTGATCTGAAGTTTTGTCCCTATATTATCCATCTGTATGTATTTTTTCCAATATAAATTTGTTCACTCTTCCTGTCCAAATCATGCCAAAGATCAGAAGGTATGTGTCCATACATGAGATATAAAAGAAGAAATGCAATTAATATTAAACTGACATCCATTTTATACTCTATACTCTTTCCTCTGTACACCAATATCTGTGATCACTCTCTACTAAATACATTCATTAAGGTTTAAGTGATTCCCATTGTCTTTTATCACTCTAGTTCAGCATCAAAAAAGTTGAACTGCCATCACTGACACCTCTGGCATAGAATATGTCACACATATAATGTCACCAAACGGGATGTGAAGCTAAGCAGTCCATAACTTCCCTGGAGACTCTCCAAAAAACAACAGAAGCCTCCACTTTATACACTGCTTTTTGTCTTGCCTGCTGAGGTCAAATGTCCATTGTGCCTTAAATTCCCAAGGAATGCCTACAAAGCCTGCATTTCAGCAGCTATGGAACTGTGTGAAATCCTCCCAGTATGACTTCTTTAATACCTTACGTTACTGTGAGTCCTGCTGCAGTCTGAAATGTATCAGATAGAGTTTTACAGGAATTTTAGAGTAAAAATGAGTCAAGAAAATTTAATTTCTGATCCAATTTTAATACAGACCTAGTTCACCTCTCCTCCGTTCCAGGCTAAAATTTTGTCATCCCATTGAATTCATTGGAATGATGAAATAAAATTGGACTAATAATACACTGATATTTTTTGCATCAGTGGGATCCCTCAGCAGCAGTGAAAGGAAGCAGGCGTTATTGTCTAACTCCAGGTAGACGGTTATGATAGAAGAAAGAAGACAGATTATTTAGACTGGATCCGTAATGCTGGAATTAAAATGGGAAAAGTTCTCACTTTAAGGAAAAACATTCTGAGATATTTTTTTTTTAATGTGCATACTCTACCAACAGAAATTAATCTTTCTCCCATGAAACACTCTGGCCAAAATTGCTACTGATTCTTGTTGCCGGACGTTGAAGATGAGATTTTAAAGATGTTCAGTAGTACATTTCTTGGACTTGATCAGAAGGCTCATTATTTCATTTTTTCTTAGACTAGAGTTGTTCTTGGTACTTATCCTATGAATTGCTTTTGGTAAGAATGAGGTTCACAGTGCACCTCTCATTTGTAGGTGCTTGCTTTAACCTAGACTGAAGATTAATCAGTATAAAAATGACTTTGACTTTACAGTAGCAGATTAGCAAATAGTAACTTTCTGATTGAGAATTCCCATATATTTGTCTTCTACCCATCTAGGAACTAGAAGACAAGTGAGCAGTAGTGAAAGGGTTAGCTAGCCATTTGTTACTCAAACACACCTTCAGACCTTAGATCTCAAACACTGCAGGGAATAACCTTGGATCAGTAGAAACCTAAAGTGGCTCATTGTGCTGTCTTTTCTATCTTTACTGTCTCAGAATCTTGGAAACTATTTGCTAATTTAATTTGTTGTGATTAATACATTGTTCCAGTGTTTCCTGCTGTTACAGTCTGCAGGAGAATTTAGTTATAATGATGGCTAAACTCAAAAGCAAACTTTAACAACAGGAATCATAGCACCATTATGCAGAAATGTCTAGCAAATTATGCAATTGTATCTACGACAATATAAATCTCAAATATATTAAAACTCTCTTTGTTTCTTTGAAGCTGCTAGCCTGGGTGCCAGCCAAAATATAAAATTCACAAAGGCAGATTATTTTATTTCATTATTTTATTTTATCCTATGGGTTTTTCAGAAGACTGTTAGCTGAAGCTCTAGGTCTTTATTACCTCTGTTGATTAAAAAAAAAAAAAATGTATTTGCTTACACAAACTGCATGCACATTGCAGGTTATAAGTAACATCCTAAATATGATTCAGATGTCTCAGAAATGTACTACTAAACTGTCCTGGTTTCAGTTAGGACAGAGTTAATTTTCTTCCTAGTAGCTGGTAGAATGCTATGTTTTGGATTATGATTAGAAGAGTGCTAATAACATGCTGATGTTTTAATTGTTGCAGAGCAGTGCTTACACCAAGCTAAGGACATCTCAACTTCTCACTCTGTCCTGCCAACAGGCAGGCTGGGGGTGCAGCAAGAGCTGGGAGGGGACAGACACAGAACAGCTGACCCAAACTGGCCAAAGGGGTATTCCATACCATCTCATGTCATACTAAACAATACACAGGGGTGGCTAGCTGGGGGGAGGAGGGCCGGACTGCTCGGGGTTAGGCTGGGCATAGGTCAGCGGGTGGTGAGCAATTGCATTGTGCATCACTTGTTTTGTATACATTATTAGTAGTAGTATCATCATTATTGTTATTATTATTATTGTTATTATTATTATTGTTATTATTATTTTCCTGTCTTAATAAACTGTCTTTATCTCAATTCACAGGCTTCACTTTCCCATTTCTCTCCCCCATCCCAGAGAGGGAGGTGGTAGGGTTAGCGAATGGCTGTATGGTGTTTAGCTGCCGGCCGGGTTAAACCACAACATAAACATACATTCCAAAGCAATTTATAAGTGCATAAAAATGGCAGGTTAGCAAATCTGAGGACATTTACAAAATAGTAGTAGTAAGTAGTAGTAAATGTTTGTCAGGCATCTACTGAACAGCACTTACTGAAAGGTACAAAGTTATTTTTGCTCTAACAAACTTTTATGAGAAATGCACATGACTGCAAAAAGGTAAGAAAAGAAAATAGTATGTGACTGTAATATGAGTACACTGCAAACACTTTATAGTGTTCTAAATAATTTGGTAGGGATGTGACGCATTTTGCAAATAACAAGAGACAAATTTCAAAATCTTTTCCAGCCTTCCACATGCAAACCAGCCAAGTCCTTAATCAACTCCCTTCTCTCCATTTTTCCTAATTCCCTTATCCTAAACTGTTTAAGGTTTTGGTAATCCCTACATCTTGAATTCAATGTGTTGTTTTTTGTTTGTTTGTTTTTTGTTTTTTTTCAATCTCAAATTCTCTTTATTGCACTGTTCCCCTTTTAACTCCAGCACTCCTTTCATCTTTTCAATATTCCTACTATAGGTCTTTAGCAGAGTCTGCAATGTCTTTTCATAGACTTATAGTGGCAGCTGTTGCAAAGTTATACCAATGGGGTTCTCAGACTGCCATCCTCAAAATGCACTACATGTCCCAAAGAATGAAAGAATGCTTTCAGAGGATAAAAGAATAGCTGATGTCTTCTCATCAGATCCAATATGTCGGCTTGTTTTCTTCTTCTACCTCATGTTTTATCACCATCTGCTGGCAGAACTTCGTAACACTGCTCTTAGACATCCCGGATCCTCCAGGGCTCTCGGCACTGAATTGGTTGAGAAACAGGGTTGATATACAGTTGGTGGTCTTTCTTACTCATGGTACTTCTGCTGCAGGCATGCACCAGGAACATTACCTTCCAGAACAATCAATATCTAATTCAATATTGTGTCTAATAATACCTATCTCCAGTGAGGACAAGTTCTCTTATTTTCAAAACAAAGCTAAATTAAATGAGTATAACCATAAACTAAACACCACAACCTTCAGTCTCTCCTCCCAAAAGTTCCAGTTTTGAATTGCACATTTGATCACCTGCTGAACATGACCTGTTCGGGCTATGGTTTCCTATTCCAGCCCAGACTTTACCAATTGCTAGTAGTATAGAAAATAGTGTATGCAGGGAAGTAAAAATAAGAAAGCCAAATGAAGGAATGCTGTTTGTAGGACAGGACACTTGTGACAGAAATAAAACATATTGTTGACAGAAAAAAAAGTATAAAGAATAGGAAAGTTATAGGAAGTATAAAAATACCTTGATCTTGTTTTTATGGGCCTGTGCTAGGCATGATTCATGTGTAGGCTACTCAAACTACACACATCAACAAAATGTTTTGTGGGTCTTTAATTTCAGATGGCTTTCCAATGTGGGGATCAAGGTAGGTTGCTAAATAGATTTCACTTCTGAGGTAGCATTTTGACACAATATTCTTGTGCTTGCTGCAATTAGAAAATAGCAAGTACTACCCTTCTCTGGGTAGTTGAAATTTAAACTTCTGAAACAATTTCTTAACAAACATAATGCATAAAATATGCATTGGAGAGGGGGAAACAGATGATTTTGTTCATTTCCTAAGTCATACATTACAATTATCTCCAAGGACTCATGGGCATGTCTGCACTCAAAATAAAAACAAACACATTCTTACAGAAGTGCCATGCTTCCACAGTCTCTTGCAGAAACAATTATAAAGTACTATAAAAATTTATTGTAACAACTGTAATTTCTAATTTAGATTAAACTATTATAATTCATTATGAATATTAAAAAATGAAAAAAAAAATCATATTCCTAAACAAAGACTTTTTTGCTTACATTTATCAATTACCATTCAGTAGAAAAAAGGCTTAGACTAATGTAGTTTTGTTTGTACCCATGTCTCTGCTTTAAAAAACTTGAACTTGCTAGAAATGACTAGGGCTTGGCAACAGCCCTACTGCCATAACATAACAAGCCATAACATTCTCATTTCAAGAAACTTCACTTAAATCAGAGTGTGCTAGACACATTATAGCCTATCTATGGCTATAAAGATTTGGTTCATGTCCCGGAGAGTTTCTGCTCTCACTTGAAGACTTGATGAATTGAGTGATCGGAAAGAATACAGAATAAAGAAAACAGGTTTATACAGTAGTATCTACATAGTTAACAAGATGAATTTATAATAATATTTATTATAAATTTGGAAGATATATTTGGGAAGGAAACTCACACGATTAAACATGAAAATAGCTCCTAGCATTATAGCCTGTAAGTTGAATTCAAATTGAAAGTTATGCAAGGTCTTGATTAGATCAGAGATTTATTAAAATTGGAATCCTATTTTTTTCTTAACTCTTTCTGGATTATTGTTTTTCTCCAAAGAGGAGGTCACGTAATTATTGTACATGGCTTTTTACTGCTCCTTTGAGATTTCCAGGATATGAATAAATTAGTATTATTTAAAATTTCACATCATTGACACATTGCTTCTGAAGAATCAGATCATCTCTTCACCCATTTTGAATTCTGTAATTTGTCTTTGTCTGTGCCTGTTTTCTTTGAACTACAAAAAATCAGAATTATACTGCATTATTATCCTCTTATATTTTAAGCAGAGGAAAATTAATACATTTTCTGAAGTAAGAAAAAACATCTTTTTTTTTTTTTTGATGAATCCTGCTCTTCCTGAAGACCTCTTACATTTAATGTAAAGATAGGAGAAAAATAAAAAATAAAAAATTAAAGACCCAACAAGAAAGTATAATTTTATATATTGTTGAAAAGTAGAGGTCAAGAAAGGTCAAGAAAGGTAAGATCACCATCTGCAAATATTTTCAAGCTTTATAGAATGAATGAAGGAAAGGAATTCAATCTCTGGATGGAACTCTGCAGTCTACTCATCAGGTCAAACTAAGAGATCATCACAATATCACAATACCTTTCTTGCCTTAAACCTGTAAATCACATTACCCAAAGATGGGAAAAAAAAAAAAAAAAAAAAAAAAAAGACATCTATACCTAAGAAAAAAAATGTTTATTTGAGATATTAAAAAATATATTCTTAACCATAAAAGTCCTTGTTTTATCTTTGTTATCCTTGTTTTTAATGATCCCCCTTCTTACTTTTGTTCATGGAGGAAATAGAAATATCCAGAAGTAAGTACTACTGTCAGTCAATAATAGGAATAACATAGAATCTGATGATGCACCAAGACCTAGAAAAAAATACAGCAACTAGCTCTTATGCCAGAGAGAGATTTGTTACGCCACATGCACCTTGTCTCTATGTCTCTATGCTATACTACTATCATTTTTCAGGAATCTCAATCAGTTCTGAGATCCTATGGGAGGTCTGTAGCAACAAATAATATATCTGGGCATACTTCATCCACAGTACTACCCTTGTGTTTTTAAATTATTTTATAACTTTGGTATCGCTAATCATAAACAAATGTCTACAACAGCATTGTAAGCGTTAACTGTTAAGCATTTAAGTTGCAAACTTCTGCACTCTTTTCCATACCTATTTCTTCCTACTTAAATTTAAGCTGAAATTAGCTGCATGTCACAACTTCACCAACTTAGAACTAAAAAGTCAAACAAAAGGTTAGATTAAGAGGTTAGTAAGTATGATATATGAGTAAATTCTGCAGAATGTAAAGGTCAGACCAGATGACCCAAAGGACATTTTTCTCTGCTTCTAATATCTCTGATTCACTGTCCTGCTGTTCTTCCAAAGACACTCCAGTGATTCTTACTTCTTTGCCTTTTTACATGTAACCCAAAGGGAAAGCAGTGATGTGAGAGTCCAAAATATATTGTGAAATTTCAGAAATATCTTACCTGTATTAAGTGACAATACGTTTCAGATAATAAACCAAGGGGCAGATTTACAGAAGTTTACCAGCCAAAAAAAGGCAAATACGTGTGAGATTTACTAAATAAATAAATAAATAAATAAAAGTATCTAATTGAATATTATCAAGAATCTTAATTTTAATGTCTACAAATAGCCCTATAAATTCATCACTTAAAAGAAATATATTTCACTATATGAAGACCTGAGTCACTCTGGATTGGTTTTCAGGTAAAATAGTGAAAATCAAATTTATGTGTGCATGCATATATATGTAATACTTTTGTTTTGAGGAAATGGCAATATAGTGGTATTACATAAATAATAGCTGTGCTTGAATTATTATTTCAACTCATGGATGTAGCAGTGAGAGTTAAGCAAGGAAACAAAAAGTTGGTTTTATGCAGATATCACACTTCACAATACCCACAACACAGTCTAACACAACACTTAGCAGTTAGTTGAAAGAGAAGAGAGGAATGAAAAGGAATTCCAAAACACAGTGTGCAGCCATACAATGTAATATATGAGTGTTTCCTTCATCCTGAGATATACTGGTATATTACAGAATGTGCCTACTCATTTTTAAGTGTTGTGAACCTTTGTCGTTTTGTCTCTGACTTAGAGGCCTACCTGGAGTCATCTTTTTAGCTTTCTTTGAGCATTTCATATATGAAGCAGAGCAATATTTAGAGACAGATCCATACCTGTTCACTTTCAACAGAGTGATCTTATATTTATAAAGATGCTTTTTAAAGGCTTGTTTACAAGTTTCATAAAAATAATAATAAAATGTTAAAAATATGTTTTCTACCCTTTATAGTTTCTTCTTAGCTTGCTCTACAGTCTGCATTTGCCCTTTCCTGTACTGCCCTCACCAACTGCTGCTACCCTTTCCCCTCAAAAGAGTTTAATGCATGAATTTTTGCCTGAGAAACTTGTATGTGCTTCCCTTTGGGTTACCTGCAATGCAGTGGGATGCACTGCAGCCAGCACACTCTCTGCTAGAACAGATTGTTTTACTCTAATTCTTTTCCCTTTCTACGTGTAACTCTACCCATAACAGGGAAGGAAAAAATGCTAGGAGGCATCTAGTTTGATATTTTGCTTTTGCCTGGCTGCTTGTAAAAGTTTGTTTCTGTTACCAATATGTGATATAGCAAGCTTTCTTTAAGGTTACTAGGGGCTTTGCATAGTGGGACATTATCATGTAAACTCAGACTTCTTTGAGATTTTAGTCTTTTAAAAAAATGCTCACTTGCTGCCAAAACATCAAGTTATTTTGAGTTTAAATTGCATTATATTCGAAGAAGTACACTTCTAGCTGGGAACAAAATTGCTCCAATTTCACCAGCACACATACATCCACTTATGATCAGTAATCATGTTTCTTTCAGTTAAGTTCTCCAAAAGGTCTTATCTCATGTGTGTTCCAAGAGCTTTCATGGCATTTCCTAACTCCAGACAAAATGCAGCTATCAGGATTATTTGGGGTTTCCTTTAAAATGCAGCTGGGAATGATATCAACTTTTACAAAATAATAATGTTGTAGTCAGAGAGCTTGTTCAGAGGGGAAGGATGGGCCCATTACTTCTATGAGCCCTGAGGAAAAGTTTTATGACCTTCTCACTTCTCACCTTCCACAGAAATTCTCAACTTCTAGATTATGGAGCTCACCTTTGAGAAAACACAGATACTCCTACTCCTCATCACTGAAGCTGTGCCAGAAGCAGATAAAAATGTATGGTGGTGATGGAGAGAAAAAAAAAATAAAAATAAAAAATAAAAGAGGAAGACAGAATGCATGTTTCTGCAGTGTAATATAGGTACATTTTCAGTGCAAAATAAAACAGCTGGGAGCAAGAATCAGAATTAAGGTCTCCTTGGTCCAGCATAAGAGAAGCTTGTAGAGCCATGAGTCTCCCTTCCTTGCTTTCCACTCCAATTTTCTTTTCTGATAGTGCAAAGGTAACATATGACCTCATTATCCTTCCCTACAGGTCCTGAGCTGAGAGCAAGTAAACTTGCTCTTGAGGACACAAATTAAAAACCAAAATACTACCTGATCAAAACAAGAATCAGCTTATATATTCACAGATATCTGTGAATATCCACTGCAAATTAAACTGCACAGAATTACTGGTCATTGCAGCTGATCTTTATTTCCCCAAGTTGAAGATCCCAGCTTTATTTTTAACATTTTCCCTTGTGATTGGGTAGTCATAGACTTCATCTCCCATACATGCTGTGAATGTCTCTTCCCCATCACTGAACAGGAAAACTCCAGCTGTCAGGTGGAGTGTGAACACGCTGTGTTTTTTTTATCATCCTGCCACAACACTATTCCTTTATTTTCAAAGTTCTGAGCGCAACAGGTCATAAGTTGTACAGTCTTCTGTCAGAAAGTTGGTTTAAACAAATCAAATAAAAAGGCTGCAGCCCCAACCTTAGTGGATATCAGAGCAAGGAATCTGCTCAGTGCTACCTGTTCTACATCATGCAGCTTTGTAATGCACTATTCTCATGGCTGGTAGCAAGCTATAAGATTTGTACTGAATTTTCAAGGCCTTAGGGATGAAGTTTGCAAGGCCTGCTCTGTCTGAACTTCCTTGACTTGCCAGCAACTTCATTGTACTTGGTTTAGCTGTAACAGCATTTTTTTTTTTTTTTTTTGGTTGTTGAGATGTCTGTGGGTAATTTCTTTTACTTTTGTTTATATTTGCCCAGTATCATCATAGTTTTTACAAGCCTAGCATAATAACATAGCATAGAAAATACAAGCCAAATATCTAAATAGAGGTCCTAAGGGCTGAAGAGATAGGTTTATATAAGGAGGAATACAGGCACAGGATGATAAAAGATGGGGTACAGACTGGCAGCGGAGGCTCCACAGCTATAAACAACACTTCAACAGTGCATTAAGAAATGCAGACCTGGAGATGGCCAAAACTGAGCTTAGTGCTAACACAAAGAACAAAGAAATACTATCTGAAGTACATAAAATGCACCATATGTAGCGAATTTTAATGCAACATTGACCAAAACAAAAAAAAAAAAAAGAGAAAAAAAGAGCAGGAGGTAAAAGTGTGTTAGCAAGCATATAGAAAGAACGCCATGTGGATCCTAGAGCAAAGAAATCATAAACATAAGTATCCGATTTCTTTCAGTGAAGGGTTATGGTGCTGACAACTTATTACAACACACCCAACCAGAATGAAAATGCTGACATTAGGACCCAGAGGAGCAGAGAAAAGGTGAGTATAATATCAGAATAAGGGATAGAAACTGACAACATGTATAATAACAATTTGTACTGTCTTATTTTTCCTTCCTTTTCTGTAATAATTAGTTATGGATTAACAACTATTAGATTCAAATTTCAGTTATATAACAAAAAATGTTTGGATATATACATGTAAGTGTATGTATACCTTAGGTGAGCTTTCTTATTGACCATGAAACAAGATTTTGAGAATAATGTAATGGTTTCTGAGTTTGGTTCTCACTGGGAGCAGTGCTGCTGATTACACTAGGTCTCTGCTGGTAAAGGACTTAAAAGGAATATGAGTAAAAACAAGAAAAAAACAAATTCAGAATAATTTCCTTCTGGGTACAAAGTATGAATGATAACTAAAATACAGGAACACCTTCCTAACACTACTGAATTTGCATGGTAGCTATTACCTGCTACACTTTATTCAAATCCTTTCATTCTCCTTTCAGCAGATATTTAAGCTTAAAAAAAATCTGCAGTGAAGCAATGCCACCTAACCAGTTTAGCTTATTTTCCTGCACCAAAATATCCCTAACTGAATGGTAATCCCATAAAACACGTTTTCGATACAGAACCAAGAGGAACTGCAGGTCTGAGAATTCTTCTACAAATGTCAATGATAGTTGACATACTTGGAAATACTTTGTTCCAGACCTAATGTTCTAGCAAAGAAAATCCCACCAAAACTACTCTGGTAGCATTTATGTTGCAGCATGTATGGCAGGGCTGATGGAATGAAACAATCCAAGGACCCCCCCTAGCAAATCCTTCATGGCCCCTCTCAGTGCCCTATCCCTGCAGCAGTCCAGCCCCACTGCCCCACACATGGTCCCACAGCCGTGCTGCCAAGGCAACGCACATGGCAGTGAACATTCAGGGTTGGGTCAAGCTCCTGCTATTACAATCCCAATGGCACACCTGGGGTCCCCTCCTGCCATGGCCTTCCTGCCTTTGCATCCTCCTCCAGCCCCCAGTTGTGGGAGTGTGGCCATAGGGGTCGACAAACCCCATGGTTGGTGGTAACATCAGACTCTTAATGATGAGACCATCAGGAATTGCCTGTTTCATTGTTTAGGGAAACCAGGGATCACACAGATGGGAATACTTAGATACAAGGGAATGGAGAAGGGCATTTCTGTGTAGGCAATATTATCACAAAGCCAGAAAGGAAAATCAAACAAATGAATGAGCAAACTCCATATGGAAAGTGCCTGGGGAGGAATAACCTCAAGTACCAGAACAGGCTGGGGGGGTGACTTGCTGGACAGCAGCTCTGCAGAGAGGCACCTGGGAGTCCTAGGGGACAGCAGGCTGAGCACGAGCCAGCAGTGTGCCCTTGTGGCCAAGAAGGCCAACGGGATCCTGGGGTGCATTCGGAGGAGTGTTGCCAGCAGGTAAGGGAGGTGATCCTCCCCCTCTACTCAGTCGTGGTGAGACCCCACCTGCAGTCCTGTGTCCAGGTCTGGGCTCTCTAGGACAAGAGGGACGTGGAACTACTGGAGCGAGTCTAGAGGAGGGCTACTAGGCTGATTAGAGGACTGGAGCATTAGATTAATGGGCCTGTTTAGGAGAGGAGAAGACTGAGGGGAGACCTCATCCATGTGTATAAATATCTGAGGGGAGGGTGTCAGGAGGATGGAACCAGACTCTTCTCAGTTGTACCCAGTGACAGGACAAGAGGCAACGGGCACAAACTGAAGTACAGGAGATTCCAGCTGTATATGAGGGAGCACTTCTTTGCTGTGAAAGTGACAGAGTTTCACAGAGAGGTGGTGGAGTCTTCTTCTCTGGAGATATTCAAAACTCACCTGGATGCCATTCTGTGCAATGCGTTCTCGGTGATCCTGCTCGGCAGATGATCTTGACTAGATGATCCTCGGAGGTCCCTTCCAACCATGGCCATTCCAAGATTCTAGTTTTATCCTGCTGGGCAAACTTTTATCTCTGTGTGCTGAAATCCAAAAATGATTAGCATACCAGAAAGACATGCACTGCCATCCCTAGTTCTTTGTCAGAAAAGAGAAGCTTTGTTTTTGGTAGCATTTCAAAAATTTGGAAACAAGGACAGCTGATGGAAACCTTTGCAGCTGCTAGGTCCAGTATCAGCCTTGAGACCAGTATGGGAGCGCTGGCATTCTCTGTCCCTGATTACCAGAAGGGGAAAAAAGAACACAGATCAGTGCTTTTAAAAGATTCACAATTGCAGAAGAAAGTAAGTCAAACTTTTTCTTTTTTTTTTTAAATCTTTGCACCTTCTGTAGTTATTTGCATGAACATAATGTGGTATAAAATCACCCCAACAGCTGAGGAAAAAGAATTTTGAATTATATTCTTGTTTGCTGTCTTTGAATAAAATAAAAGAAGGTAACTGTCTATGGAGATGAGGTCAAATATTTCAAAAACGCATGCATTCAGAAAGATATTGAGGTGCTACCTGTAACTTTAAGCCTTTAACTCAGGCCTCAAAGGTGTGCAGGTTCCACATATAACCAGTGAAACAAACAAACAAACAAAAAACAAGTGCTTCTAAAGAGTGATTGGGAACATTTAAGTAAAACCCAGCTGCTACTTTTCATGGGCACCTTTGATTAACCACTAGATATACCCTGTCCTTCATCAAGAACAAGTGCAACTGAGGTGCTGAGTGTAGGCACCTGAACAGGCTTCTGCTGTAGGCACTGAAAAAATTTCTCTCCCTCTGCCACTATAGTGTGAACATGCACTCAGCAGACTGAGAAGAAATTGCATGTAGCATTTCTACATTTTTTGTCCTTTAATCATGTATGCTAGAGAAGGAAAATGTTTATATATTCCCATGTGATATTATTTAATGAACCTTTAGCTGTTTCAAGCAGTGGGTGTGTATTATTTCTTTTGGAAGTTGCTTTACCACAGAAATGTTCTTGCAGCAAAGGAGATTTTTATCTGAGTTTTCCTTATTTAGTGTAATTGCAAAAGATAGTTTTTTCTATCATGAAAAACAATTCCAGCAATTTCTGTTGTGCTTGTAATTGAGCCCACACTTCCCAAAATATATTTGCATGTACTCAACCACTTGTTGAAGTTATCATGTCAAAAATTCGTTTTTATAATCTTTTCTCATAAATCAGTGCCTTCTACTCATAAACATGCTTTTTTATTTTCTTTTCACTCCTCCTAATATAAGAGGTTTTTCTTCTACTATGGCATGTCCATCATTTATCATTCACTCAAAACACAGTGTTGCTATGAGAACTGCTTGGATTCCTCTCTCTTTTCTTTTAAAAGCAGATATTTAAGCTTAAAAGAAAATCTTTTTTTTAAAAGAAAAGTTGACCTATAAAATGGAGTACCTGTAAGTTGGAATAAGCTATGCATACATTAGTGTCTGGTTATAGTCAAGGTTTCTCATAAAGCTTTTGTGTCCTACTTCTCATAGATCATACCACATCAGCATCATCAAATAAAAATCCTTTCATTAGGGTGAAACAAAGTGCAAGAATCTGTCTTGCCACCAATACTCAAGTTAGGGCATCTCCCCTTAACTTAGCTACCTCAAGCTACATGCTCACATGGACCTCCAGGTCTCCTGCTCCACACTGAGAGCACTGGTTATCTTCCAAATATTCAGGTTTTGCATAACTAGCATAGTAGTTCTCTATTCATCTTTTATCCTATAGGACACCAGACAGATCCAGTTTGCAGTTAATTCCTTTCCTAATTAATGTTACTCGTAAAGGTATGTTCTGTGCTACTCAGCTAACTATTAGCATTCCTGATGCACCCTTTATATTACATGCAATCCACTGTCAGAGGCCAGTAGATGGAAAGCAGTGCAAAAATTGCATTTAAGGATAGTAAAGAAAATCCTGCATTCCCAGTGAAACCTTCCTATATTTTTACCAGTATCACTATATCTAGGATATTAATTTATCCTTCTTTTTCATCACTCCATCATCATGTTATAGATGATCAAATGTCTGAAGTATGATACTGCATGAAATGATGCAAACTCATTTAAAGCAGCATAGTGAGATAACTGACAGAATTATTTCCACTGTAGGATAGGAATATTCCTTTTTCTGCTATTAATATTTGCTTTAGAAAAACATCCAGGTCCTTTATCAGCTCACAGTTTTCACATAACTGAAATTAGCAGCATTAATCTTCTGTTCTGCAATGAAAAAAAAAATGTATAAAAATTACACAGTGATAGCTTTAATACCATACATTTTCCATTTCAAATGCTAAACTAGACTCTCACACTGCTGCTTGGACACATTACTCTAGCATGGCAGATTTGTCACTATAGCAGGTAAATGCTTTTCTTTTGTGTCTTCACTCCTTTTTAAGTCAGCCGAAGATCACGTTATTTCTTCTGATTTCAAACACTGGGGAAAAAAAATGTGGGGTGCAAAGAAAACAGCCATTTTCTTTTTTCTAAAGAGTGCATTAAAAGATTAGCAGCACACAGGAGGAAAAGCACAACAATGCTGTAAAATAACTCTGTCTTGTACTTAAAAATAAAAAAGATTAGCACACATTCATGCCATTAGGTTAGCTTGCTTTTTACAGATCCAGCTAGCTGGGATTTGCATAAAGCAGAATTTCAGCTGTGCTTTTCCAGATTCTGACATTGAGCCTAACAAAGGCTGCCTACCATTTTCAGGTCGTTTTGCCCTTCAAGTAAACTGTAATAAGCAAAGGGAAGACGCACACGAGAGCCCCTGCATTAAAACCCTGCTCTTCTGTGACAGACGGAGATTGCCATCTGCTGGTCTCTGGCCTCTACCTAAAGTCAGGCAAAGGGGATTTCAGTGAGGATCCCTACAGCTGCTCTTTCTTTAAAGCAAAGGATATTTTTCTTCAGCCCGTTCTTCATAAGCATATTCAAAGCATACATTTGCATAAATAAGCATTTATTTGAAAACAAAGCCAAACTATTTGATCACCTGTTGCAGTCTAGCTGTGCAGGGAGTTACTGTGATAGATGTTAAGTGGCATCTGCATAATGCAAAGTTCTGCCATTTCAGGGATAAGGATATGGAACAATGGAATAATACTACAGAGATTCTGACCCAGGTATGGACCACATCATACAACTCCACCAAAATGTGATTCTTCTGAATAGCAATATAGTGGGCTTTTTGTCAGAGAACTGGCTGGGAAGCAGGACTGCACAGACAGCCTGAGGATATGCTATGTCTGCATGGCAGAGCATGGACACTTTGCATGTTTCCGCATCTCTGGCATTCTTGCTGCAGCAGTGCAGCTTTTGACGATGGGTGGACTGCATGCCACAGAGTGTTCAGCCCCACCACTGCAGCTGCCAGGTAACCTCCCATTCTTAGGCAGTGATGCATAAAACACTTATTACATCATGCTCAAGTGTGAGATATTCCTGACTGTGAGTGCTCAGCTCACCCTTCATCTGGGCATAATGTCTTTCTAGTCACGCTGACAGAAAGGCAAGGATGCCAGTTCCCTGTCTAAGAGGTTAAATTGTCTGTGTAAATGAGAATAGTGCTAAAACACTGCACTGCAAACAGAAGCAGCTGACACAGGCACATATTCCATCCTGCCAGCTCTGGGCGGGGCCCCTGACCTCCTGCCAGGCAGACAGTGAGTACAGCACCACTTAAATCACCATGTGTCTGTTGGCCACAGGATATTTTTCAGAGCCCTGGATGCAAGCTGTGCAGCAGTGCCATGGCCCTACTTCCCTCCCTGCAGAACCATGCACCCCTTCACAGGCACATACAAACACACAGGCTGCTCAGCACTGATGCACCATGCTTTTCTAGCTGTGGGAAAGGGAAAGGGAAAGGGAAAGGGAAAGGGAAAGGCTTGAGACAGCATAGAAGGATTTAAATACGAGTATAGGAGTCATGTTGATACAGATGGCCATGCTGGAATCATGGAAAAAAAATATCTTGCTTGATAAGAGCCTGAGCGAAGGAGCATGGCACATGAATAGCTATACCCACACAGTAGAGCATTTTCTGCAGTACTGCCAATAATTACACACATCTGAAAACACCTGATACTCAGGAGTAACTCATTACTCCTGCAAGCTGAATGCATGGCCCCTGCCATCCAGCCTGCCTTCCCATTTACCTCTAGTCTCTGTGAAGAAGCTGCAGGGCAGGCTCTAAGAACTGAAAAGCAGAAATTATTTCTTGAGTATTCTGGTCATTAATTTGGATATATGACAGTTAACCACTCAGTGCATCACTCCTTGCATTATATTGCAGTTTCATAGGAGAATAAGCCGAAGATATCAATACACATTGGTGCATGTTTGCACACACGTGCATCTGCACAGCTTGAAATTTCTAGTTTGGTATTTGTTTTCTAACTGGAACAGTGTCTTTGATGAGAGCAGACTTTCTAGAAGCAGTCATTTCTTTGCAAAAGTTGCAGGGAATGTTTTATTAATATGAAAAATGCTATGAGTAACTATTTTCCTTATTCTTCAACCACTGAGGAACTGTAATCCTGTTTTAAATGAAATTTCAATCCATCCTCTGTTATGGCTATGCAGCCTTCTCTTCTTTAATATATTGTTCAAAATTCTTAATGCTACAGTGCATTGGAACTCTCATGTTTTCAGACATTTCTCCATCACTATTCCACCTCTTTCCTAATCAGTATGCTGGATGACTACATATTTAGTACATATTCCTTAGACTGATTCCTTCCTCCCAGGTGAACTGTTTAACATTTTTCTACATTAAACTGCATTTGCTAGCTGGTAGTTCACTTACTTAAATGACCCAGAGTCTTCTGTGGTTTCGTTTGGTTTCTATTACTTGTTTTATTTCTTTCAGAAACAAAGTAAATAAATTAATTAATTAAAAGCAACAATAAATATTATAAAATTACGTTTTTAAAAAGGTTTCCTACTGTTTCTGTTTATTATCCATTCTTTTCCCTAGAACAAATCAGAATGCTGTTTGTCAGCAGTAGCATAAATGAATAGTTTGCATTTAACTTGTATGTAATAATTTCAAAGACAATTCTGAGGTAATATGGCTATAAATTAATAGTGAGTGAATGTATCTCTCTTGGTTTTATAAGCATCCATTTACAAACTATAAAGAGTAGGAGCATCAAGGACCCATCCTTATGCAAATGATTTGCTTAGTTTTTGAACTTGCTTACAAGAGCAATGTAGCATTATTCTATGCATCTGACCAGAACTTACAGTGCAATACTTTTGTGACCAAACAGATACAGACATGATAAAACCAAGTCCTGCCCTACATTGATCCTACGTGAGGTATCTAAAACATTCTTTCACAGACATTTTTATTCTATAGGAAAGCATTTTGTATTGTAGCACCTGATTAGGCTAAGATTTTATTAACCCACCTAATGCACTGCTCCTGTATCTGACTTTGCATCAGTGTAAGCCTTATTTCCACCACCCTCTCAATCTGTAACAATGAGGAAGCTTTATTTTGCTTAGAATTTATTGAAAGGCAGAAATAGAGAAAATTCACTCTCTAGCAATTGCACAACAAATTAAGTAATAAATTGCATTAGGGAACATAATGGGGAATACAACTCCACCAACTAGCCCAAGACCCCTACTGTCCTACTTTCAAAGGGTTTTCTAATTTTGTCCTCACCTTACTGTATTGCAGACTTTTCTCCAGGTGGGTGACATTCAATTCTGTGCACCAAAAGGATTACTGGCCTTCTTAAGACTTAATACAAACAACACATTTACACTATTCTGGTCTTCCCTGTGCCTCTTGAAAACCTGAAGAGTGTTTTAATGACCCAATTTTCTTTGTCTTTGCAAAGGTACCTGGTTTTCTTTGAATCTTGCCGTTTTAATTTCTTATCACAAAGCTTTCCTTATGGACATGGTATCACTGGCAAGCACTGCAGGATGGAGCAGGCTATAATTTATTACCTTCATACTCCCTGCTTTAATCAGAATGGTGTTTACATAAACCCCTCCCACCAGAACTTATCCTGCCTTCCCAAAGCTGATTCTATAGGCTGACTCACCCTGAATGCAGTACCAGGTGTCTCGCATCCCCTTACCTCCTGTGCAGTCTTACAGAAAGCTCATCCCTGGTATGAATCCCTGGCACTTTGCTACTCAGTGTATTCAGCAGGCACCCCACTCTGCACACAAGTCCATGTATGATATATTTCCTGTACAACCCTTCCTTTATGCAGCTGCCCAGTAGCTGAGCAGGGTCTTGGTCACTGCTCAGAAGCTCCATTTCTGTTTATGCTTGTTCTGCAGTGATGGTACTGGATGTCCCTCTACACTACAGCTCCTGTTACTACAGTATCTACTGCAATATTTAGTCGCTTTATCCCCGTGCTTTTCTAAGACTGGAAAATAAAAGGGGAAGAATGTGAGCACAAAGAGAAATAACAATGCTGCCACGCAGAGGTCTCTGGCAGAACAAGACGGGTCTAGGTGTCCAGCATTTTAAATCAGCATCCATCTCACTTCTTTCCATTTCTCAGGAGTATCTGCAGCACAAAACACTTAGTTCTACAAAGGACATGCAAGGATTATATTAAAAAAAAAAAAAAAAAAAAAAAAAAAAAGAAGGAAATATTCACCTCTATGTGAATGGCATGGAGATTAGGAGCTGCCTTGCTTCTGAAGGGACAGAGTTTCAGCTGGTATAAACTGGCCTGATTTTATTGACATCAGTGAAGCTGCATTATTTACACCAGCTTAGGATCTAGCTCAAAGGTTTCAACTACTGAACATTTCCAGCCAAATAAAAAGAAGGCTGCCAGGAGACTTGTTTATGGCTTAAAAATAATGAGTGGGATCCCACAAGGATCTAGGTAGCAATTTGTTAAGCTATGAAGGCAAGACCTCGGGGCAAATCTGCGCCTGAAAAGCATTTCCTTCCAAAGACTGCTACCACACCAAATAAGCTACCTAGCAACACAAACAGACTCCCTGGTGCTAATGAATTTAAACATAGCATAGATACATTACCACCTATGGCTCCTTCCTTCCAAATCACCCAGTTGAGCTCAATAAAATGAAGACAACAAATGTTTCTAAATCTGTACTCGCATCCAGTGTGTGGTATTTTATCATTTTACCCTGAAGTTCATTGCAAATTGTGCCTACTGATTCACTTACAGAATTTCTTTCTCTGAGAACAAAATCCCCTTGTCAGTCTTTTCACCTCACTCCTGCTCTGCATCACCAGCTTTGACGTGCAATAGCACGTTGGTGGAAAGAGAGAAAAAGGAAGAGACCTAACTAGAAATCATTGCTCTTTTGACCTGAGATTGTAAAACTTAGAGAGTATTTTGGCACTGTGTAGGGTTAATATTACACCAAATAGCCTATCACAGCAGCAAGTATAAAACACTATCTTTTTTCTGTCTGTGCACTGAGTGGGTTGAGAGTTTTTATTTCATACTTCATTTACACCTTGCTGAGTGATGCCATAGAAATGGCAAAAGTTTCATCTCCTCCCACTCATGCAGCAGCACAATATGTGTAACAGCAGCAGCTCCCACACCACTCGCTGGAAGCTCAGGCCTGATGCTGATCACAAGTTCACATCTCCTTCTCCTGTGTGACATTCTGAGATGACAGCAAACACCTTTTGTTTTCTTATTAAAGCTTGTTGCAGAACTAACAGCTGACTGGAAAGCTGTTTGAGAATTTTAATCACATAAACTAAAAAACACTGAGATTTTCCTCAAAAGCTCCTCACAACAAAAAAATGGTAGGGTAAATTAATAAAATCTGTTTAGAAAAATACTGAAATGAAGAGGACAAGCATTTGCATATAACACACAGAGTCTTAAGCAAGATGAAAAGGGTAAAGTTATATCCTTTTTATATCAATATCAGTTCACTGAAAATGCAAAGTCAAGCTGCATCTGAAAATCTAGAAACTTTCCAGAGGACTCAAGAAAACTCAAGATAGCCCATCAGATTGATAAGGAGCTCAGAACTAGTTTGAGATTAGTTCATGTTGGTAATTGACCAAGTACTGCTACTTCTGCCAACTCCAAGGTGTTCTATATTTGGCCATGGTCCACTCTGTCCATTAGCACAGATCCACTTCTCACAATACACCAGAGCAAACACCATTATTTAACACTCTGCTAGCAGTTTTACTGAAAGGACCAAGAGCTAAATCTGTATATTATTTGAATAACTCTTACTCTCATATCCTGTCTATGAAATAGTTTTTATCAGAACTTTCACACTACCGTTCTATCATGGTAGAGGGGAGCATAACAGGACCACCATTTCAAACACGTGTTTCAGTGAACCTTGTCTGTTATGAGCAATGGGGTTGACAAATCAGTCTGAATACGTTACAGTAAAATGTTATGTGTAGAGATAAATAGTAGAGACAGAATCTTTTTGAACATTTTGGTGATTAAAAAAAAGTGACAGCCAATTCACAAAATATTAATAAATAATAAATTCACTAAAAAAATGAAAAATAAAATAAAGTGAATTCAGTTTCCTCAATTAAAAATGTCAACAGGAACTTTAAGTTCTTAAAAACCTTTTTTTCTCACATTTCTTCTCTTGGGAAATTCATCAAAACTGATTCTGGCTACTGTTATAAATGAAGTCTCATCTCAATCTGAATTTAGTAATACTTATAAATGGCATAAAAGGTATAAAAGGTATAAAAGGCAAGTAAACAGCTCTGGGTGTGCGGGGAGTCCACGCTCCACCAGCACGCACACACGAACATCAAACATTCTAAATATACAGAACATTGCTTTACATACTAAACAGGAGTACACCTATACATATGTACAATCAGAAAATGTAACAAACAATCCTTTAAGTTCCATGACTTAGTCTCCATTTTCCATTCCTTCTCTTGATTACTAACAAGTCTCCATTTTCCATTCCCTTTGAACAATATATCTTGCTTTAAGTTGTCGAGCAACTCGGTCTTCAGGCCTTATGTATCCCGTTCTTCCCGGATCGAAGAAAAGCATATCCATCTCCTTTTCAAGGCCAATTGGGCCTGGGTCAAAAGGCACGTCCAGGTCAGCAGGGGGCGTAACAGCAAAAGCCTTCGATGGCTGTAGCAGCAGAGGGGCCGCCCATGGCTTAGCAGAAGGGATCAGTGGACGAGCCCGCAGCTCCCTCACTGTCTGGCAAACCACACGTTTCTGACTGTGGTCCCACAGGGCTCTTTAAGGCCTCAGAGACTGCTCGCCAGGTGCCGAGCAATCCCGCTGCAACCTTGCCGTTTTCAGTTGCAGAGTCCCACACCTTGACCTCAGTTTGGTCCCATATTTCAGGATCATAAACTGTCCGATTGTTAACAAGGAGAATAAGCTGTAAGGTTATCAGGACAGTCCTTGTTTCTAAGGACGTATGATTCCCCATAATGCGCAGCTGCTTACCAGCGAGAGGCAGTTGTGTGCGCAGGTCTGCTTCTCTCAGCTCGAGCTTCTCTCCAGCTCCGGTGCGCCTGTTTCCAGCGACTTTCTGTATGAGCTTCTCTGAGCGGTTTGCTGAGTTTGGCCGAGCCTATCTTCATGAGGCAATCAATGTGCCTGTTCCCGTCCTGGTCTCCGTTCTGCTAGCTGGTCCCTATTCATTCCTTTTTCCTGCTTCTTTATTGATGATGTAACTCCATCGTGTTGCCTTTTTTTTATCTTGAGGGCAGGCTCCCCTCTTATACCCTTCTCTCCACAGCAGTTCTTTTCAAAACAACTTTTCATTGGTCAAACAACTTTGAATGTAACAACAACAGCAAACACCCAGAAACTTCCATGCCTCAATGGCTGGAGAACAAGCAACCCAAGACTTCATGGAGTCTCCTGAATCACCCTTCTTTGTTCCCTCTAAACTCTTATATTCCTGATGGCCTCATCGTTAAGAGTCTGATGATGTCATCAACCACGGGGCTTGCTGACCCCCATGGCCACACTCCCACATCTCCCCCTTCTTTCTTAATATCAACCATCTTCTCGACACGAATTACTACTCCATATATAACAACACATTATTGTACAAACAATAATTTGAAGTTAAAACATGCAACTGCTTATCAAAATATTACCAGTATTAGCCACTGTCCTGGTTTCAGTTAGGACAGAGTTAATTTTCTTCCTAGTAGCTGGTAGAATGCTATGTTTTGGATTATGATTAGAAGAGTGCTAATAACATGCTGATGTTTTAATTGTTGCAGAGCAGTGCTTACACCAAGCTAAGGACATCTCAACTTCTCACTCTGTCCTGCCAACAGGCAGGCTGGGGGTGCAGCAAGAGGGGACAGACACAGAACAGCTGACCCAAACTAGCCAAAGGGGTATTCCATACCATCTGACGTCACGCTAAACAATACACAGGGGTGGCTAGCTAGGGGGAGGAGGGCCGGACTGCTCGGGGTTAGGCTGGGCATAGGTCAGCGGGTGGTGAGCAATTGCATTGTGCATCACTTGTTTTGTATACATTATTAGTAATAGTAGTAGTATCATCATTATTGTTATTATTATTGTTGTTATTATTATTTTCCTGTCTTAATAAACTGTCTTTATCTCAATTCACAGGCTTCACTTTCCCATTTCTCTCCCCCATCCCAGAGAGGGAGGGGGTAGGGTTAGCGAATGGCTGTATGGTGTTTAGCTGCCAGCCGGGTTAAACCACAACAGCCACATAAGCAAATTTTGTTGTCCTTCCAAATTATAGTTGACGTAGGAGCATATCTAATAAATAACAGAATGAAGATGGTTGCAGAGAATTTGGTGTTCCTGGGAAACACAGTGCAGATCTGGGAGTCCTATATCCTAAAGGAGTTCTAAATTTAGTTTCCAGAAAAAAACATTCTTAAGACTAATCATTTTATCATTCCATCACATTCATATCACATTATTATTTTTATTTTTTATTTTTAGAAAATGATTAAACAGTTTGTCTGTAGCATTCTTTCTTGCAGGTTGTCAGGACCT